AGCTCCAGCTGAGGGCTCCGTTTCTGGACCCTGCCACCCTCAGGGGACGCCTTGCACCAGTAAAACCCAGAGTCTCCTTCCTTGGCTTCTGGGATGCGGAGTTCCGGGCGGGGGCTTCTGTTCTGCAGGGTGTGGCCGTCCTTGTGGAAGGAAAAGAGCAGCCGCTGGGCCAGCGTCTGACTGCGCAGCTTCGTCTGGCATCTCAGGGTCACAGGTTTCCCCTCGCAGAGCTCGTGAGAGGGGAGGGCCGTCAGCACAGGAGGCGGGAACCACACTGGGGAGAGGCAGCTGGGGGCTCAGGATGGGAGTCCGGACAGTGAGGCCCGGGGAGGCTGAGGTCTGAGCTTCGGCCCACTCCGGGCCCCACGGGAAATACCGTCACCATCTCCCAGCACCTCACTGCTCATCCCACTCACAAACCCTGAAAGAATGCCCATGCTCCCAAGCTCCTCTGGGGTCCCAGAAAGCCAGACCCGGAGGGGCCTTAGCAGTCACCTAGTCCCCAGAGGGGAAGAGTCTGGCTCAGGGTCTCAAGGGGGCGGTGAGTGTCAGGGCATCTTCCACCTCCTTCCCTGACTCCAGACATGTCCCGTGGAGGGGGAGGGTATGTAGACAGCCTCTTGGGCATCTCAGGGCCCTGCCGACTGACCCAGCAACAGGGGCAGCCAGAGGGAGGGGTGCAGCCCTGAGCCCTGCTGTCCTCTAAGACCAGGCCCTTGAGCAGCACCCTAACCATCCCACCCCCAAGTAGTGACTCACCTTGGACTTGGACCGTGGCAGTCCCTGAATCCCATGAGTCCATGTTTCGGGTATATTTCACCCGCCCAGTGCAGTTATAGTGGCCACTGCTGTTAGCTGTTGCTGTCCCCAGGAAGAGAGGCCTGTTGTTCTTAGAGAAATGGAGGAATTTTCCATCTTTGTAGAATGTCACCTGGGACAGCTCGGCGTTCTTCCTTCCCCGGCATCGCAGAATCAGTATATCCCCCTCAAACACGAGGTATGGCTGGGCTTGGAGGCTCAGCCAGACTGTAAGATGAAGGAACAGGGTCACCCTGGAGCTCTGGGTCCCTCGGTCCACTTTCTCCTTCTTCCCCAGCCTAATCCCACCCCCACCCCACCCCTCTCCTGGGATGGAGGCTCCTGCATGGCACCTTCACAGTTGTCACTGTCCCCAGCTCGTCATGCCAGACCAGGGCCTGCCCTCTGCTTTCGTCCACTCCCTTCCTCTCTGTTTCCTCTGCCCTTCTCCTTTTTCCCTCCTCCCCCCTCCCTTCTCTTCTCTCTCTGTGCCTTCTCTCTGGCCTCCTTCCCTCCTACCCTTCTTCTCTCCATTCTTTTCCCCCTACATGACCAGGGATGGGACCCTTGCCCTCTGCAGTGGAAGCTCAGAGTGTTAACCACCGGACCATCGGGGAAGTCCCCCTCTGTGTTTGCTTTTGCAATGCACTCTCCCCTGCCACCTTGGCAAGCTTGAGGCAAACTGGGTTCCTTCCATGCATTGTTCCTCTTTGTTCCTCCTGATTGGATCCCCATTCTCCTAGTCTGGTTCCTTCTCCCCTGGTGACCCCAGCTCAGCTCTTTCTGCAGTGTCCACTTCGGATGGTATGTGCACCCCTATCCCCCAGAGAGGAGCTGAAGGAGTGGGTGTTGGACATGCCATGGCCTGGGCTCGCTGCCCCCTGCTTCCCTCACTGGGCTTCCCCAGGCCCAGCCTCCATCAGCACTCCCAGCAGCGAGGTTCGTTTCTACCACAGTCACGGTGTGGGATCTGCCACCTCTGTCCTCATTTATAAAATGCCTTTTATGCCCTGATGTGAACAAAAGAAGAACTCCTGGGGACCCAGCATCATCTGCAGGGCAATCCCAGACTGGCCTGGCCCTGGGACATCTGTCCTTGGCAAACCAGGTACCGCTGGTCCCAGACAACCTCAGAAGCCTGAGAGTAATGATGCGCAATCAGATAGGGAGTCCAAAAGAGAGCCACAGCACATCCTACCTTTGCCTGGTTCACCTGGATCCCTAGGACTCTTATTTGCACCCAAGAACTAATGATGCTCACAGTGCAGCTGAATTACAGGCCTTGCTTCCTTGGCCGCTCTATCTAGCACCGCTAAATATTGGTTTGGAATCTTCCTCTTGGGCATCACAGAACATGCCCCTAGAGGTCAAGATTTCACAGGTCAGAGTTTTCACCCACTGACAGAAGCTCCATGGAGGTCAGTGGGACAGGATGAGTGGGAGGGCAAAGGTGGCCGAGGGAGAAAGAAGGCGGATCCACAGACAGAGATGCCTACTTCCTGGAACGTTAGTGGGAAGGGAGCAAATCCAGACCTTGATGAACAGGGATGGCAGGAGCTCCAGAGCCACACCAAGAGGAGACTTATAAGGGAGCCGGATGGAGGCCTAGAGCCCTTCTTCCGGAACTTGAAGTCACCCTGTAACTATCCTCGGCCAGAGACAGTGAAGTCCTGGGTTTCTCCCTCGGCATTAGCGAAGACTCCTGAGGACGAGGTCTAGGCTGGTGCTGCTCTGAAGGTGCTGCTGGGCTCCCAATGTTGTTCAGTCTGTCAGTCGTGTCCCACTCTTTGCAGGCTTCCCTGTCCTTCACTCTCTCCTGGGGTCTGCTCAAACTCATGTCCAAGCTCATTTCTAGCAATACTTAGTGATACTAGAAAGAGCAGCCCAGGAAGCAAGGTCTGTCATTCAGCTACACTGTGAGCATCATTAGTTGTCCTGTGAGGCAAGGAGTCCTAGGGATCCAGGTGGACCAGGTGAAGACAGGATGCGCTGGGGCTCTTCTTAGGGCTTCCTCGTCTATTACTCATCATTACTCCCAGGCTTCTGATGCCATCCAACCGCCTCATTTTCTGTCGTCCCCTTCTCTTCCTGTTCTCAATCTTTCCCAGCATCAGGGTCTTTACCAATGAGTTGGCTCTTTGCATCAGATGGCCAAAATATTGGAGCTTCAGCTTCAGCATCAGTCCTTTCAATGAATATTCAGGGTTGATTTCCTTGGATTGACCCAATGGCCCTGATTTTACCTATCTATTAAGTTTTGGCCCAGAGACACCCTTGGAGATGAAAGAGACATGGACAAGACTTACCAGTTTTCCCAACACAGGGAACTGCAAGAGAAAAAAGTGATAGATTAAGTAGCAGAAAGAACTTTCTGACAAGGAAAGGGCCTGTCACCTTATAAATAGATGCTAACATTCATTCAACCAGTCAACCACCCAGCCCCCTAAGCACATAACTATCTAAGCCACCCAATCTCTCACACACCCAGCCACCCAGCTATCTAAGCAAACAGCCACCCAGCCACTCAGCCACTCAAATTTTATGGTGGACCTACTGCCTGGAATTCTTTGCCCAATCTCAGTTCAAATATTACCCCCTTAGACAAGTCTTGCTGGGCTTCCCAGGTGGTGCTCATGGTAAAGAACCTGCCTGCCAATGCAGGAGATGCAAGAGACACGGGTTCAATCCCTGAGTTGGGACAATCACCTAGAGGAGGAAATGGCAACTCCAGTATTCTTGCCTGGAGAATCCCATGGACAGAGGAGCCAGGCAGGCTACAGTCCATACGGTCGCAAAGAGTTGGACATGACTGAAGCAACTTAGCACAACTATCATAATACCCTATTGTGTTACCATCAGAGCACTTATCATCATTTAAAATCACCTTACCATTAAATTGCCTACTTGTAATCACCTGTCTCCCCCACTCTGTCTACAACTTAAGCTCCATGAGAGCAGGTCCTCGGCCTGTCTAATTCACTGGCATATTACCTACACCGAGGGCCCATGCCTGGACTATGGTCTGTGTTCAATAAGCATATACTAAATCGATGCACGAATCCTTCCCCCACTCATGCAGGGCAGGGAACAAAAAGCAGAAGACACAGGACTAGATTCTTGCACTATTGTGCCTGAGGGGCCTGTTTACACGTACAGAAGGACTCAGCAAAGCAGGACTGAATTCCCGTGGCCCATCTGCCCACAGAGCTCTGGGGAATAGAGTATTTGGAAGTGACCATAGGAAGGAGGTAAGAATAGATTGTGTGGATGTGATCATAGGAAGGAGGTGAGGTTTCCCTGGAGGAGGTCATTAAATGACTGTGGGGCATGGACAGGCAGCTTGGAGGCATGGGATGCAGGCCGGTGCCTCACACCGTGTTGCAACTTGTATGCATTGCACTAATGCTTCTAGACGAATGAATGCTTGAGGAGAGTAAGTGGACAGGAAAGTGTTAGTTGCTTAGTCATATCTGACTTTTTGTGACCCCATGGGCTATAGCCTTCCAGGCTCCTCTGTCCATGGGATTCTCCAGGCAAGAATACTGGAGTGGGTAGCCATTTCCTTCTCCAGGGGATCTTCCCGACCCAAGGATCAAATTCAGGTCTCTTGCATTGCAGGCAGATTCTTTACCATTTGAACCACCAGGGAAGTCCAGGTGGCCTGGAAAGAGAGGCCAAACCACAAAATGATGACAGATGCGGTTAGGCAGGGGTGATCAGCCTAAGGGATGAGAGACCCTAAACTGAGGATGGAGTTGGGTGTAAAGCAGTGGTGCATATTCTGGGCTTTGGGGCAAGAGGCAAAAGAATGAATGAGGTAGGGCTGAGTGCAGTCAGTCCAGCCAGGCCCCAGGCATTGACTTGTGACTTTCTTTGCTGGGTGCTGTGCAGAATCCTGAGAAATGCAAGAATGGTCTTGGGAGGGGTGGGTGAAGATCCTCTCAGCAGATCTGGCACGTTCATTCACAGGCTATCATGCTTGCTGTCCACATGATTTGGGACATATTCTCCACCCACTCTGCTCAGGTCAGCTCCGCCACAGGTTCTCAGGGTGTATAAGATTATGACTCCATCCCTTCATCTTCCCCTGCCTCCAATCTAAGTGCATCTTCTGTGATCTTGGTGTAGTGGGAAACGCATAGGCTTTGGAACCAGATGACATGGGCTGATTTCATAAGTCCATCTCTTTCTATGGGAACCTGCACGGGTTGTTTAAAGTTCAAGAGCCTCCAATTCCTGGCTCTGTCTGTATAGTGGAAATGACAATGAAACGGAGCAGGACCGTGTGTGTGGTCCTTGCCCCTCCCACCATCAGGTTCTCTGCTTGCCATTTGCCTCTGGAAAACTTTAGTCAGAAAATAAGCTTAATCAGAGAAGTGAGAAACTCTGAAACAAAGGAAAACAGTTTCAAAGAGGACCAAATAATAATAATGTAGTCATCAAGCATAGTCAGGGACCTTTAGTTCTGTCTCCAGGGCTACAGATAACATTCTAAGCCATGTCCTGCGAGCTGTCTTATAGATGCGAAACCCCAGGTGGAGAAATTAACTGCATGATGACCAGCCTGTGCCCAGGACAGGAGCCGCCACAATGTCAAGAACTGACCGCAAAGAAATGGGAACAAATGGACCCCAAAACTGAAGATTAACTGGACCTAAAACAACCAAGATGATGCCAGTCAGACCACTGATGACCAATTTGAAGATGACTGTCAGAGATGACTGTGCTGTTTCTGTGTGTAGCCCCCACGCCCCACTCTGTCTATAAAAGCTCTCACCCGCTGCTTGTCAGAGGGGTGTCAGCCTTTGGACAGATGTCCGCCACCCTCTCCCACAATTGCTGGCACCTGAAATAAAGCACTTTCCTTTCTACCAACTTGGTCTGCTTATTGGCTTTTGAGTGGCAAGCAGCCAGACCCCCCCCATGCACACCTTTCAGTAACAATAAGTCATTTCTACCTTACAGAGCAGTTGCATAGATTATACTGACCCCCTGCCTGGGGAGGTGGTTTCTGTATTAGCTGAAAGCAGAAAGGCCTGACCTCAGAGTGACTAAGACCTCACTGGGTAGTGATGCCTCCCCTTCCTTTCCCTTCCCCACCGGAAAACAGTTTTGCAGCTACAAAGTGATGAACAAACAAGCCTGAGGTGACTGATGCCTATAACAAGAGGTAGGCTCCAGTGAGCATAGATGCTTCAGATGAGCTTGTGCCCAGATCCCAACGACTTGCTCTCCAGGGCATCGCAAGGCCTTGGGGTTGCGGTTGCAGAACCGCTGTGTATAATCAAAGTGGTCACCACCTGGGGACAGAGCAGATGACACCTGCTTACAGCAGTTCCTATGAAGAGAACCCGAGGCTTCGGTCAGGTACAGGCTGACGATGAGGTGACAGTGTGATGTGAAGCCAAGAGCTACTGTAAAGCTGTGGAGTCCTGCATGGCGGAGGTCACAGCCCCAGTGAACTCTGCACTCATTGGGCCACTTTGGGAGGGATGAGAATGCCCAGCTCCTGACCCACCGACAAAGCTTATTGGACCGAGCAGACCAGGGCAACAAACCGGGCCTAGAAACCATTTCCTACTAGGGGACTTGGCAGACGTTTATCTGAGGAAGATGAGACAGAGTAGGGATATTCAGTAGCCTTCGAATACCTGATGGGCTAAGCTTAAAAGAAAGGAGAGACTCGCTACTTCACAGGGGGCCTTCCTGACCCAGGGATCAAACCAGCCATCTCACATTTCCTGCATTGGCAGGCAGGGTCTTTACCACTAGCACCACCTGGGAAGCCCTCATAGGGCAGAAGTGGAACTAGTTAGATCAGAGAGGCAGGTTTCAGCTCCACACGAGGAACTACATCACAGTAAATCTCTACCACGTTGCAACATGCTACCCTGCCAAGGGGTGGCATCCACGCACCGGGAGTGCTGTGTGTCACGGATGCTGCGTGCGTATGGGGGGTGGGTTCCAGTATGAGGACTGAAGCTGGCTGACGCACAGCTCAGAGGAAGATCAAGGTTCATCGCCTAGATTTTAAATACACCTTAGTGTGTGTTAATCACTCAGTTGTGTCCGACTCTTTGCAATCCCATGGACTGGGGCTTGCCAGGCTCCTCTGTCCATAGAATTCTCCAGGCAAGAATACTGAAGTGGGTTTGCATTTCCTTCTCCCAGGGCTCTTCCTGACTCAGGGACTGAACTCAGGTCTTCTGCATTGCAGACAGATTCTTTACCATCTGGGCTACAAGGGAAGCCCAAAGACATCTTTAGCATACAGCCATGAACCAGCGTGTTCAGTGACAGGGCTTCTAGCCTCTAGAATCTGTGATAGCCAACACTAACAACAGGTACCATTTGTTGTGTGACCATGTCCTGCTAGGCACTTTAAATGAATATAATTTCTAGTTTTACCTGATTAAATTCCAACTACATCCAGACTTGAGGTAGTGAGACAGAACAGAGAAAGCACAGGGCTTGACAAAATGGGTTAGGTTTGCATCTCTGTTTTGCTTGTTAGCAGGGTAATTCTGGGCAAGTTTCCTAACATTTTTGAACCTCAGTTTCCCCAACTGCTTCATAGGGATAAAAAGTAAGCCCTCCCCTATAACGACTCTGAGGGTTATATGAGATAATGAATGTTCTGTACATTCAGTGTTTTTTTTTTCTCCTCTGTCTCTCTGGCCACATCTGAGAGGAAATAGCACTTGAGAGGAAATAGCAGCTTTACCCTTACGGTAACTTCGTTGAGACACTTTCAGCCAGGGGGTCCGAATCTCAGGCTGGCTTTGTGGGGTCCTGAGCATCAGATGTGACTCAGTCCTGCCTGGGTTTCCCATATGCCATCGAATTAGTCAGCCAGTCACTGACTGTCCACCTCTCCTCCTTTGCTTTCCCCCATCCAGGTCCTGGGGTACACGCCGGGAAGCTCTTAAGTTTTTATCCAGTCAAGTCCAAGGACTCTATTCCTTTCACAAGGAAGGGGTATGCCCTTAAGAATCTCCCATCTGGAGTGTATCCAGGCACAAGGCCATCCTGTCCCTGTCCTAATGTGAGCACTGACCCTCTCACTTGTCCAAAGGACCATTCATAGAACACACAGGGCAACATGGTGACGTTGGGGAAGGAAGAGCCCTGAGTGGAAGAAGTATTTTCTTCTCCGAGGCTTAAGTCCCACAAACTTGACCCAGGAAGGGGGTGCTCTTAGGAAGGCTTTTGCTTTTCAGGGCTTCCCTGACGGCTCAGACAGTAAAGAATCTGCCTGCAATGCAGATTCTGGATTTAATCCCTGGGTGAGGAAGATCCCCTGAAGAAGGAAGTAGTTATCAACTCCAGTATTCTTGCCTGGAGAATTTCATGGACAGAGGAGCCTAGCGGGCTACAGTCCACTGGGTTGCAGAGTCAGACGTGACTGACTGACTAACACATTTTGCTTTTCTGGTTCAATGAAAACAAACATCTGGGACCAAGCTTAAAACAAAAAGCAAGTCAACTCAGAAACTGTGAAGCGAAGTGATCTATGTGCCCAGACTCATTCCTTCTGAGTGTAGCATCTGACAATGCCTAGACTGAGCTGAATCTAGGGGAGCTGAGTAACCCACCCCCACTCCAATCCTCTGTCTGGAGACCAGTCCCTTCTGGCATCAAGGAGAGAGCTATGGATTCAGATGAATGGATCTGAGCCTCCATATAGGTCCCCATGGGCTTCCCAGGTGGCTCAGGGGTAAAGAATCTTCCTGCCAGTGCAGGGATTCAGGAGATGCAGGCTCGATCCCTGGGTCAGGATGATCACCTGGAGAAGGAAATGGCAACCCACTCCAGTATTGTTGCCTTGGAAATCCCGTGGACAGAGGAGCCTGGTGGGCTACAGTGCATGGGGTTGCAAAGAATTGGACATGACGTAGCGACTCAACAACAGCAACAATAATGATACCATGGGTCCCCATGGGCCAGTCAGACCCAAATCAGAACCTCCCCCTGACAGAGAGAGGAAGTAGGCGGAATAGGAATGGTCATTTTGAAGAGGGCTTTGGACACTCGGGCATAAACCTCTTGACTAGGGAAGAAGCCCAGTCATTATTGACTGGTTCTAAGAAAAGGCTGAGGCTTCTTAAAAATACATCTCCTTGTAAAACCCCACGCTTAGCTCCGCTTGCTGAGCAAAATGTGTGGAACTGCCTTTTGTCCACTTCCCCGATCCTTCCTCCGCACCCCAGCAGCCTCCTTTCCTTCTGTGATTTTATTTCCCTTTCGAGATAGACCTGATGGATATTTTAACTTGATTTCACAGGTTGAAAAATGTCATTGGATTTCAGCATGTGATTTTTTTTTTGGCTCCCTAAATTAGCTTTGACACATCAAATGGTTGCCCTTCCAAGGACCCAGGAAAATGGGGTAGGAAACCGTGGGGCTCCCCAGATGGCCTCATCCCCATCACTCTCAAGCATACCCATGTGCACACACTGGTCTCAAGCTCTAGCAATAAACCCACTTGAACTAGGAAAGGTGAAATAAGGAATTTTGCATCTTAGGAACAGCACAGTCTTTGGCGCCCAGGAGAGGCCACTGGCATTGGTGACTTACCGAAGAGCAGAGCAGCTGTCCAGAGCAGCATGGGGCCCAGCCTGGTGTGGAAGAGGGTACACAGGGCAGCCCAAAGTCAGGCGTGAGGATGGCAGGGCGAGCGTCTAGGTCACAGGCCCAGGGGTGGGTGGGTGACCCCCTCTGACGTGGGTTGTGTTAGCGCTTGATAATCTAAATACAGGAAGTGGGGAAGAAACTAAAAGCTCATTTTGGTATTTCTTCTTTGCTAGAACGAGCGCAACACAAATGAATTTTCTTGGCCATAAAGCATAAGGTAGTCAGATAAGCCACTGGGAAGCACTTTATTGTTTTCTTAATATATATATTTTACTGAAGTGTAGTTGACTTACAGTGTTTCAGGTGCATAGCTAAGTGACTCAGTTACACATATATTCTTGAAATTATTTTCCGTATAATTCCCTGGGCTATACTGTAAACCTTTGTTACTTGTTGCATATCTACTTTTTAACTAGAAATCTAGCATTCTATTAATACTAAGTCAAACAAGTGGAATCAAAATGTCATTAGTGTGTTAGTTAGGCAAAAAGTCATGTTTTCTTAAATATATATAGTACATATTACTTATATACATATATGTATAGAAAAGCTTTTCTACTACACTTGATAAAGGCTTGAGAAAGAACAAAAAAAAAGAATAGATGGAAAAATTGGAAAACAGAAACTGCTGCCAGTGTCCCAGGCCCGTGGAGAAACCCTGCTGACCGCCGCCTCCGCAGGAGACCCCCCCACACTGGCAGGTGTTTTTGGTTCAGTCTCCCGAGTGGTCACTGCTCCTTTCCTCTGGGTCTTGGCACACACAAAGATTTCATTTGTGCCCTCCAAGACTGGAGTCTCTGTTTCCCCCAGTCCCGTGAAAGTCCCATAATCAAACTCCTTTGGCTTTCAAGGTCAGATTCCCTAGGGATTCCCAGCCCCTTTGTCAGATCCCCAGGCTGGGAAGCCTGACACGGGCTTCAGAACCTTCACAACAGTGGGAGGACGTCTTTGGTATTATTGTTCTCCAGTCTGTGGGTCACCCACCAGGCTGGTATGGAATTTGATTTTACTGTGGTTGTGCCCCTCCTACTGCCTCGCTGAAGCTTCTTCTTTGTCTTTGGATGTGGGGTATCTTTTTTTGGTGGGTCCCAGCATCCCCCTGTCCATGGTTGTTCAACAGCTAGTTGTGATTTTGGTGCTCTTGCAGGAGGAGATGAGTGCACGCCCTTCTACTTGCAAGCACTTTTGAACACTCTCTTGGTGGTTTGAAAAGGCTCATGCTAGGAACTAGGATGGGACATGGCTAAGGAAAGACGCAGAGACTGCAGAATTTGCCTGGCCTCAGCATCACTTAGTCTGGAAGGTAGCGCAGAGATGGGAACACTAAGACCCTCCACACTGCCCCACCTCTACTCCGAGTGACCTCTAGTTCTCCAAGGTGCCCTCTTCTTCAAGCAGAAATGTGTCTGGCCTCTGCAATAAGGTAGAGAAGTGGGATCCTTGAAGATATTCCACAGGGCCATCAGCTCAGCAGAGAATCAAGGATCAACGTGGCTGGGGTAGAATGGGGATGGAGGTTCTGAACCTGAGGCTTTAAGATGGTCAGGTAATTATTTTGAGAAGAATTGTTCATTAAAAGACACCATTAAAAGAGTGAACAGGCAAGCCACAGAGTGGCAAGATATTTTAAATAAATATGACTGACAAAGGACTGGTATCCAGAATGCAAGGATTTCTACAATTCAATATGAAAAAGGCAGACCACCCTCTAGAAAAATGGACAATATTTTGGATAGCTACTTTACAAAAGCAGATATCCAAGCGTTCAATAAACATAGGCTAAGGAACTTGACTTCATAAATCACTGTGGAAATGCAAACCTAAACTGCAATGAGATACCACTACATCCCCCATAAGAATGGCAAAAACTATAGACAACAAAGTGCTGGTGAGGATGTGAGGTAACTAGAACTCATGTACACCTCCAGAGGGAATATAAATTGGTACAGCCACTTTGAAAAACTATGGGGCAGAATCTAACAAAACTGGACATACAGATCCTGATGGCCCAGTGTTTTAATTCCGAAGTATTTGCACATGTGGGCATCACAAGACAGGTGCAAAAATGTTCATAGCAGCATCACTTGTAACAGATGAAAACTGGAAACCACTGGTGTCTCAACACAAAAGAAGGCCATCCCCTACCCCCATGTCCTCTGAGAACTGAACACAGCTTCTTCTTTGTCTTTGGATGTGGGGTATCTTTTTTTGGTGGGTCCCAGCATCCCCCTGTCCATGGTTGTTCAACAGCTAGTTGTGATTTTGGTGCTCTTGCAGGAGGAGATGAGTGCACGCCCTTCTACTTGCAAGCACTTTTGAACACTCTCTTGGTGGTTTGAGAAGGCTCATGCTAGGAACTAGGATGGGACATGGCTAAGGAAAGACGCAGAGACTGCAGAATTTGCCTGGCCTCAGCATCACTTAGTCTGGAAGGTAGCGCAGAGATGGGAACACTAAGACCCTCCACACTGCCCCACCTCTACTCCGAGTGACCTCTAGTTCTCCAAGGTGCCCTCTTCTTCAAGCAGAAATGTGTCTGGCCTCTGCAATAAGGTAGAGAAGTGGGATCCTTGAAGATATTCCACAGGGCCATCAGCTCAGCAGAGAATCAAGGATCAACGTGGCTGGGGTAGAATGGGGATGGAGGTTCTGAACCTGAGGCTTTAAGATGGTCAGGTAATTATTTTGAGAAGAATTGTTCATTAAAAGACACCATTAAAAGAGTGAACAGGCAAGCCACAGAGTGGCAAGATATTTTAAATAAATATGACTGACAAAGGACTGGTATCCAGAATGCAAGGATTTCTACAATTCAATATGAAAAAGGCAGACCACCCTCTAGAAAAATGGACAATATTTTGGATAGCTACTTTACAAAAGCAGATATCCAAGCGTTCAATAAACATAGGCTAAGGAACTTGACTTCATAAATCACTGTGGAAATGCAAACCTAAACTGCAATGAGATACCACTACATCCCCCATAAGAATGGCAAAAACTATAGACAACAAAGTGCTGGTGAGGATGTGAGGTAACTAGAACTCATGTACACCTCCAGAGGGAATATAAATTGGTACAGCCACTTTGAAAAACTATGGGGCAGAATCTAACAAAACTGGACATACAGATCCTGATGGCCCAGTGTTTTAATTCCGAAGTATTTGCACATGTGGGCATCACAAGACAGGTGCAAAAATGTTCATAGCAGCATCACTTGTAACAGATGAAAACTGGAAACCACTGGTGTCTCAACACAAAAGAAGGCCATCCCCTACCCCCATGTCCTCTGAGAACTGAACACGTTAATTTAAGGTGAAGCATGGAGAGCTGGGTAAAATGCCAGGAAACATTTTCTGACAGTGAGTTGTTCCTGGAAGACTTTAGGTGAGAATTTTCATACAGTCTGAAAAGAATTTGCTGTGCTTACTGCTGAAGGAGCTTCCCAGGTGGCGCTCAGTGGTATAAAAGCTGCTTGTGTAATAATGCAATAATGCATTAATAATGCAATAATGCAGGGTAATGCAGGAGATGTAAAAGATTTGGGTTTGATCCCTGGGTTGGGAAGATTTCCTGGAGGAGGGCATGGCAAACCACTCCAGTATTCTTGCCTGGAGAATCCCAAGGACAGAGGAACCTGGCAGGCTGCAGTCCATAGGGTCACAAAGAGTTGGACATGACTGAAGCGACTTAGTACATACACACTGCTGAAGGTGGGAACAGAAAGGGTGAACTTTCAGTTTTCTGCCCAAGTTCTCTGATTCAGTGGAAGTGGGCAACCAATCTGGCACTGCCAGGAAGTTCTTCTGAGTCTCGGTTGATTGGAAGTTAAAAGGAGTGAGGAAGTAAAGTAGGAATTGAATATCTTGTTGGCTCAGCTCAAGATGTTAACATTTATGCATTTTCCTCTCTTCGTTCTCTTTCCAACAGATCTTCCGACTTGAGTCATCTTTAACTTTGTTCAGCTGCAGGTCTAGAGGGTAATGTGACACCTCTGCAGGGCTGCAGCTAGGGTAGGAGACGGGGCAACCACAAATGGTCTAGCTTGCAAGCACTGAAGGTGCTTTGCAGGCAGAACCCATGAAGCCTCGGCCCCTGGCTTCTTCTACCTTCACTGGGTCCGGGTGGCCTGACTGTGTGAAGCCTCCCCCACTTCTCACCCTACCCTTGCAGAGTGAGGTTTTGTTGCACCTTCAAAGGTGTTAGTGACATTGGCTCTCTGAGCTTAACTGGCTGCACTCTGCTTCTTGGGGGTGAAGATCACCAGAGGCAAGTAAGGCTGCTCCTAGCTTAGGAGTCTTCAGGGCCCAGACTGAATGGAATCAAGATTGGGATGGGTTGGGGGGATCAAGACCCATAATACTCTAAGGGAAATGAGGGGCTAAGAGGAGGTGGGAGGATAACAGAGAGGGGATTCTCAACCAGCAAGGGCTTGAAGCCCAGGGGTCCTCATTCCTCAGGGTCAGCTCACAGGGGAACATTGGTGATGGACAATGGCTTCTGGGGAATGGGAAGATTCAGTCCCACTCCAGGAGGTAAGAGAGGAGAGTGGGGTAGGCAACTGGGGTTAGGGAGAAGCTCTTGGCATGTAGATGACATGATGGGCCCCAGAGCCACCCACCTGGGCTTAAATCCTTGCTCTGGATACTAATCTGCTGAGAGCTTGGTGAAGTTTTTAACCTTTCTGCACTGCAGAGTCCTTAACTCTAAAGTGGGATAAATGATTACACCTGCATCATAGGGGTGTTAGGAAGGTTAAATGAGATAACACCGTGAGAAATGCTTAGACAATGCTTCTAACAGCCCTCTCTTGCAGTGGTGGTGATGTTCTCTGGGCTGTTCAGTTCAGCTGTTACCAGCTACATGTAGCTACTTGTGGTTGGCTAGTGAGACAGGAACTGAAATTTTCATTGTTTTAAACTTCTGTTGTTCTGTTGCTAAGTCTGTCTGACTTTATGCAACGTCCTGGACTGCAGCATG